TCAAACATAAATTAAACACTAGAGCAATCTGGATTTCAATAACAGCTTTATTAGAATAGTGTAAACAGCTGGAAACTTTTGAAATTAAAAAGATAATTATATTTGCATAATTGTTTTACACTGTGTACAAGCTGAAGATAACCAGCCACTTTGTTACAAGTGCCACACTGGTGCCGCAGCAACTTTGGAGGGAGTCATAACAAAGGGGAAGCTGTGATGATGATGACCTGAAGAGATAATTCAGCAGCGACCGCAGTGACTCCTGCTGGGAAGTCGATGCCGAATTTCAGACAAATATGTGAACTCTGGTGAAGCTCCATATGTTTTCCGTCTCATAAACCTTTTTTAATTTTAAAGTAATTTTACAAAAGTTTTGCATCAAAATTAGTCTTTATAGAAAAGTCTCAATGATAGTCTGGATGAATTTTATATACCCTATACCCAGTTTGTCCTGTTGTTAACATCTTCTATTATTACGATGGTACATTTGTCGTAATTAGCCAAAATTGATACATTGTTATTAACTAAAGTCACATTTTATCAGATATCATTAGTTTTCCATTAATGCTCTTTTTTTCTGTTCTAAGAGCCTATCCAACATCCTATTACATTTGTCATCACAGTTTTTTGGTTCCTCCCAAGTTCTGACAGCTTTTCAGACATTTCTTGATTTTAATGATCTTGACAGTTTTGAAGAGTACTGGTCAGGTATTTTATAGAATATCCCTCAGTTTGGGTTTTTCTGATGTTTTTCTTACAATTAGCCTGGGATTATATGTTTGGAGGAGGAAGATTACAGGAGGTAAAATGTCATTTTCAGCCCTGGCTGGCGTAGCTCAGTGGATTGAGCGCGGGCTGGGAACCAAAGTGTCCCAGGTTTGATTCCCAGCCAGGGTACATGCCTGGGTTGCAGGCCATAACCCCCAGCAACCACACATTGATGTTTCTCTCTCTCTCTCTCTATCTCCCTCCCTTCCCTCTCTAAAAATAAATAAATAAAATATTTTTTAAAAAATGTCATTTTCAACACCACCTGTCCAGAGAACATGCCACCATCACTCACCACCAATGACATTAACATTGACCACCTGGCTGAGGAAGAGTTTGCCAAGTTTCTTCTGGCTATAGTTAATTTTTATTTCCTCCCTTTTCCTTACTATTTTCTTTGGAAGGAAATTACTAAGCATAGCCCACAAATGAAGTTTGTCCATAAATTATCTGGAATTCTTCTCTTTGAAAGATATATGTCTCTTCTCCCCTGTTTACTTATTTATTCAATTATTTAGTTATCTCAGTATGGATTCATGGATATTTATTTTATATTCAGGTTTAAGTCCAATACCATGTTATTCATTTTGTTGCTCAAATAGTGTCAGCCTAGCCTTTGGAAACTTTTTCAGTTGGCTCTTGTGTCCCTTTGGCATATTTCTACCACGTCAGTTTTTTTTTTTAAACTTCCTTACTATTTGGCATTACATTATGCTCCTGATTCATCTTATATATTTCCTGTCCATGCTCTAGAAACAGTCATTGCTCTAAGGGTGCTTGGTTTCTTTACTGAAGACTGTTACTAGAAAACAACATCTGAGTCTTGGGTGTATCCATTGTTACTGGGCATCACTGCCATATATACGTATATTCACCCATGAGGGATGTTTTGGCTGCCTTCAGCTTTTATTATTAATAAAACTGTCATAAAAAATTGCATATAGGTTTCTATGTGGACAGAATTTTTCAAATCATTTGAGTTGGGAACATAATTGCTGAATCACATGGTAAATCTATATTATATTTTATAGGAAATTATCCTCCAAAGGGGCTCTACCATTTTGCATTTCTAAATAAAAAGTTTTATTTCTCTGCATCCTCACCAGCAGTTGGTATCACCAGTTTTTATAATATTTTAGCCCCTCTTATAAATGTGCTTTGGATTTTCACTGTTTTCTACTCAGTCTTAAACTCAAATAGAGTACAACTAAACACAGATTTTAGATATTAGCAAATTATTGCCTGCAGTTTATTTTAAAATCAAACAAAAAACTTGACATACACAGCACACTCTTACCCACATTTCTCCCAACCACTGCCTCACCTCTGCAGCCCCTTAAAACTAAGCTCCTCTAAAGATTTGTCTGTACTCACTCCTCTTTCATATTCTCTTAGACCTTCTCCAGTTCTCCTGGTCCCACCTTGTCATGCTCACCAACATCCACTTTGACCAACCCAATGGTCACTTCTCAGTGCCTATTTACTTGACCTGTCCACAGAATTTTACCCAGAAGTCTAGTCATTCTACTTCATGAGAGTCATAAAAGACTCCCTTTACTGGGCTTTGGGACCTTAAATTGTCTTGGTTTCCACCTACCTCAATACCCTAGTCACCATTGAATAACTAACTTAATACAATAAATGATTATGCCAGTGCTTTGAAAAGTTAAGTAAATAGTTTCTTGAAATATCTGACTCCCACTGGTAAATTTGTGCTGAGATTTCTTGAACTCACAAGAACCAAAAATTACATGTAATTATTTTATTCCTAAGAAGGTAATCTAAAATGGAAATCAGAGAGGTGCAATGAGATATCACCTCACATCAGCCGAATGGCTACCGCCAATAACAAGTGCTGACAACAATGTGGAGAAAAGGGAACCCTAGTGCATTATTGGTGGGAATGCAGACTGGTGTAGTCGCTGTGAAAAACAGTATGGAGTGTCCTCAAAAAATTAAAAATGGAGCTGCCTTTTGACCCAGTGATCCCACTTCTGGGAATATATCCTAAGAATCCTGAAACACAAATTCAAAAGACGACATACCCCTATGTTCATAGCAGCATTTATAATAGCCAATATTGGGGAACTGCCCAAGTGCCCATCAGTAGATGAGAAGATAAAAAAAGCCGTGATACATTTATACAATGGAATACTATGCAGTGGTAAAAAAAAGAAGATACTCTTACCCTTTTCAATACTATCAATGGACCTGGAGATGATTGTGCTAAGGGAAATACGCAAGTCAGTGAAAGAAAAATATTATATGATCTCACTTATATGTGGAATCTAACTGAATAAAATAAACTAATGAACAAAATAGAAACAGAGGAATAGATGTATGGAACTGACTGACAGCTGTCAGAGTTGAGTGGAGAGGGGCGACTGGATAAAAAAAGTGAAGGGATTAGCTGAAGAATATATGTGCATGACCTACGGACACAGACAACAGTGTGGTGATGGCCTGAGGGGTGGGGGATGGGTGGAAGTGGGCAAAAGAGGAAAATGTGGGGACAACTATAATAGTGTTAACAGTAAAAATAAAGAAGAAATAAAAATAAAATTAAAAAGTTCTGGCCAAGATGGAGGCATAGGTAGAAACCCTTCACCTCCTCGCACAACCAAAAGAATGATATTAACCAATTTAAAAGCAAAGAATAACCAGAACTGCCAGAAAATCATTTGCATGGAAGCCCAACAACCAAGGAGTTAAAAGAACATTCATCCAGACTAGTAATAGGGGTGGAGATGGGTAGCCAGGGTGAAGAGGACACTTGTCGGCAAGGCAAACAGGTAAGCTGAGAGGAACAATGGGGGAGCGACACAGAGGTGAAACCCAGGGTTTCACCATGGGAAACTAAAGACTCAAAATCCCTGGCTGTAAAAAAATTGGGGTGAGGGGTGCAGCAGTGGAAGAAACTCAGCCTCATAGGAGAGTTCACAATGTGTTTGTGGGGAGTGAGGGAAGTGAGGGAAAGTGGGACAAGAGTAGAGCAAGTGGCATTGTTCCCTCCCTGACCCCTCCCCCACATACAGTGCCACAACACAGCAAAGGGGGTTGCCTCACCCTGGTGAACACCTAAGGGTCTGCCCCATACTATGTAACAGGTGCACCCAGACAAAGAAATATGGCCCAAATAAAAGAACAGATCAAAGCTCCAGAAAAAATACAACTAAGTGATGAAGAAATAGCCAACTTATCAGATGCAGAATTCAAAACACTGGTAATCAGGATGCTCACAGAATTGGCTAAGCTCAGTTGCAAAATGAAGGAAGAAATGAAGGTTACACAAAGTGAAATAAAGGAAAACATACAGGGAACCAACAGTGAAGGGAAGGAAACAGGGACTCAAATCAACAATTGGGAACAAAAGGAAGAAAGAAGCATCCAACTGGAACAGAAAGAAGAAACAAGAATGCAAAAAAAAAAAAAAAATGAAGAGAGGCTTAGGAACCTATGGGACAACTTTAAGCGCTCCAATATCCAAATCATGGGGATGCCGGAAAGGGAAGGGCAAGGGCAAGATACTGAAAACTTATTTGAACAAATAATGAAGGAGAACTTCCCCAATCTGGCAAAGGAAACAGACTTCCAGGAAGTCCAGGAAGCTCAGAGAGTCCCAAAGAAATTGGACCCAAGGAGGAACACACCAAGACACATCATAATTAAGTTACCCAAGATTAAAGATAAGGAGAGAATCTTAAAAGAAGCAAGAGAAAAGGAGACAGTTACCCACAAAGGAGTTCCCATAAGCCTATCAGCTGATTTCTCAAAAGAAAACTCAAAGGCAAGAAGGGACTGGAAAGAATATTTGAAGTCATGAATAGCAAGGACATACACCCAAGATTACTCTATCCAGGAAAGCTTTCATTTAGAATGGAAGGGCAGATAAAGTGCTTCCCAAATTAGGTCAAGTTAAAGGAGTTCATCCTCACCAAGCCCTTATTATATGAACTGTTAAAGGGACTTATCTAAGAAAAAGAAGATAAAAAACTATAAAGAGTAAAATGATAACAAACTCACAGCTATCAACAACTGAACCTAAAAAACAAAAACAAAATCTAAGCAAACAACTAGAGCAGGAACAGAGTCACAGAAATGGAGATCACATGGAAGGTTGTCAGTAGTTATCAGTAGTAGAGTTATAAGGTAGAGGAAATTTTATCTAGCATTTTGCCCAGCTTCTGTAAGAGACAATGTCAGAGAATTTGAGTAATACACAAGGCAACACACAAGACTGAAATACTTTAATTGCATTGCTATTCAAATTAAACTATTTCCATATTATTCAAATAATTTTTAATTGTTCTAAACTGCTATAAATAACTTTCACTATTCTTGTTTTGGTTGTTATTTAAATTTTTTTTCAATGCCCAAATGAAATAGTCAGCTCCTGGAAAAGGGGTGCAGATATCTGCAAAGTGATTTTCTGTAACAGATGAGAAAAAAATAAATTAGCAAAAGTAATCAATATAAAGAAATTTAGTTACAGATGAAGTTAATAGAATTAACATATGATGCTATAAAGATAATCTAATGTGATAAAGTATTAAGTGATATTTTAAAAATTTACATGTAATATGTATATGTATTATATATAAATGTATATATATAATATGTCCAATATATAATATATAGGAGTAAATTACAGTTATCAAATGATTCATAGACTCTAACAATATAAGTTTATGTAATCCTCTAATTAAACAAGTTATTTTATTCAAAAGAGATCTTCATATCTTTGAACCTACAGAGCTTTATCAAGGTCTTCTGGGATTTTTTCTCTTATTCAAGATCAGGCACACATATACATGAAGCTAATATTTGTGAAACTAATTTCCCAACAGAGTTGTTCTAGTTGTTTTTTTTTGTTGTTGTTTGTTTGTTTGTTTGTTTTTAACTTATAAATCACTTTTAATTCATCAGAAACTTAGAAAGAGCACAGAGGTTTGGAAAAGGAAGGACAGCTTCGCTTTCCTGTCACTTCCTTACTAACTGTAACATCACTCTAAGACATAGTTTCTTCCTCTTTAAAATCTGATTGACAATGTTGCCCACACAAATCTATACCCAGGAGCATGTTGAGAATCAGATTCATTTTGCTAAAAGTCATCTGTGGATCATAAAACTTCAAATAAAAAACTACTATTACAATTAAGATATCAAACAACTTGCTTAACAACATCCCCTAGCTTGAAAATACACTCATTTAGGAAAAAGTAAGTTTTGAGTAGATTTTTATTCAAATGACCTTGCTATCAACTATTTCTTAATTTTATAGAAAGAGATGAAAATTCAGTACCTTAAGCTCTGTGTCGCTGTTCTAAATAAATATTAAAGACCATCATTATGTTATATTGTGTAATAAGGTATTAGGAATGCAATGAGGGTTTCAAAGGCTCTGAAATCTATAGATCACCCCTCCTATTTAGGGCTTTGGTGTCTATTCTTCTTGCTACTACATTCTTCAGGGGTGGGGATTCTGTCTTACATCTACAAACATGTTTTTATTGCAGATACTCACTTTCAATAAATATGGAACAGAGTAGAAGGAAGGAGCTGTGAAATTTCATAACTTTCAAGGTCAAGGCAGTTCTGTCAGTTATTAAATTAAGGTATGTGACTTTGATGAGTAACTTCACCTCCCTGGATGCTCAGTTTTCTCATATTTTAAACTAAGGAATTGAAATATAATCCCTCTAAAATCTTCCACTCCCAGTTTTCTACAAACTTTTATTCTTATTTATTTTAGCCACCCATCTTATCCCTCCTTTATGTTTCACTTACCAAGGAACATACCAGCCTTGCAAGATATCATTAGTGGTATTTAATCCAAGAAAGTTTCTAGACCGGTTATATAGAAATATAACTCTGTGCTAATTGTTCTTCCTTGAGTTTCAGAAACATGCAAGTTGTTATTTTATAAATGTGATCTGTGTCTTTTGCAAGGAAGTAACATTCAGGGAAAATTCAATTAGCAGCCCTAGAGATTTAATAAGGAAAATTTGCCTTTTAAGTCAATAGTGTTTATCTTACCCCATTGGAATTATAATGCATTCTGTTGCTTGGGATGGCTTCCCCATTCATAAAAATAACATTTGGCTTTGAAGTGAAACCAAGGATCTGAATTGTGCTATATGCCAGAGTCATAATTCCATGGTAGCCATTTTTGATAACAGTGGTTTTCAGAGTTCTCTGTTGTTAAGGAGGACAGAAAGAATTTTAAACAAATGATAATAATACACAGAAGTTTAGAGCTCAAAGTGATAAGAACAATTGCCAATATTTTTAAATACTTCTTGCTTTCAAAATCTCTTAGAATATATTTTCTTCATAATAATGAACTATTTTATCACAACATAAACTAAATGTTTAAACTTACATTACTGAATTTGTATTCAACATAGAAGTACTCTTCCCTTTCAATAGGATCTGAAAAATAAGTATTAACATTAGAAAATAAAGGTCAATTTTACCTTTCACTATTTTAACTTAAATTCTGGTCAATTAAATTCCTGAGTCCATAGGTCTTGGCTAAACCTTGTGCTTGGAGTCTTCTAAATTACCTAGCAATTGCTGAGCAAAAAAAAAAAAAAAGTGAAGAATCACTAGCCTCGACCTTACATTTTTAAGGATTGTCTTGGGTAAATAAAAAATAGTTAACCTAGTGAAGTAAGCTTCATCATCTTATCATGCCTCCCACTTTCCCCCTCATTTTCCACCTTTACTTTATATGGAAAAACAGAAAAGAGCTTTGTTTTAGACATGTTTTCAACACTTTAATTTTAGTGTTAACGTAGTGATTCCCCACTATTAAAAAGGGGTTGAAGTATCAGACCTTCTTAGTTTACAGAGTTATTAGAAAAAAAATAGATTCAATAGTAATTATAATATGACCTGTGTGCAGTCTGGGTTTAACATGCCCAGCCCTGCAAATCCTCCTTTGGAAAATAAAAAACAGTTAACCTGTAAAGTAAGCCTCATCCTCTAAACACGCCACTCACTTTCCCCCTCATATTCCATCCTTACTTTACATGGAAAAATAAAGAGAAAATCACTTTGATTTATTATTTATTTATTTATTTGCTTTCATAATAGTAGAATATACTGTTATAGGTAGTAAGAACATTGAGTGGTGTGTTTTTTGTCTTTTTTTAATTTAAGTATTTTATTGTTTAAGCTATTACAGTCATCCCAACTTTGCCCTCTTGCTCTCCTCCACCCAGCCTCCCCACCCCTTCTCCCAAAGTCAATTTCCTCACCATTGTCCCTGTCCATGGGTCATTCATACATGTTCTTTGACTAAAACTTTGTAGCCAACTTCCTCCCACATTTCTCTTTATTGTCCATATACACAAGCTCCCTATCACAGACAGGCAGATCTATCTCTCTCCCTGGTTCTCTTTTGACTTCAATCCCTGTCCTCTAAAACAAAAACAATCTTTCAAATGTTAGGGATTTAATGAGTGATTCCTGAGGTAATTCGCTAAAAAAAAGAAAAAAGAAAAGAAAAAGGACACAGAAGAATGCTGATCATCATAAAAATACAAGTACTGACAGATATAAGTTGTTCTTCTTGTTCCAGGGAAAGCCTTTTCCATAGTTTGCTGATCTATGAGCTTAGACTAAAGGAGAAAAGGGGGATAATAAGAGATAAACAAATAAACAAAACCACTGACATTGTGCCTCAGCCAGGTGAATCTTGACCGATATTCTCAGTTCAAGCTGCACCTCCTCCTCACTACACATAATTCTTCAAATGATGGTCTAAGTCCCCTCACCACAGAACCTCAACAGTTCTTCCTTCCTCTAACCTAACATCTGTGCCACCAGAACCCAGTCCTTACAAATATATATCAAAGGTTTCATTCCTGAAAACTGGAATCTCCACTCCTTCCTAAGTAAGAATAAATTAATGAGAAAAATTTTATTTTAACATACCAATAAGTCAGTACTCTCTCCTCTCAGGTAACCATGGAGTAATTTGTTAGTACCTCCTTGGAGATAATGTATAAATATAATGTATTTCGTTAGCACCTTCCTGGAGATAACTTTTAAAGATAATAAATTCACTTGTGTTGCTTAACCCAGATGAGTGGCCAGATATGAGGACATTTTTAGGTTCCTGGACAGTAATGTTGGTGAAAGCAGAAACTTGCCATGGTGTCCATTATATCTTACTTTATTGGTCCAGCTCTACTATTTTTAATTTTAAGTAAAGTCATACTGAAATCCATAACATTTCAACTGTTGAACATGTTGGTCTACTTACCAACAGAGTCACCATCATCCCAGAAAAGGGAGCCAGATGCTTCTCCCTGTTCATCTAAGGCAATTATGAGGCTGAAAGGATTCAGGCGGCTGTAGAAAAACAGTAAAAAATGTATTTTCAGAGCTAGTAGGACCTAATTCTGATCATCTCATGAAACTACCTAGAAAAATGTTTAGTCCTTTATAAACATCTTTACCAGATTTCCACTTAGCTTATCCTCAAATACCCCCAGTGATAGGAAACTTAAAATACCCTTCTGTAACCTATCTCTGCCCTGCACTGCTCAATCTGAGGACAAGAAGTAACTGCCCTAACACAGTCCTCTTAAATGTGTTCCAACTGAAAAAAAGTAAAGGTTTTTATGATTTAAGAAAGTGATAAAATAGTTATTATAACATGCTGATTGAAGGTACACCACCATTCTCCTCAACTTATCTACAAAATTGCCAAAGTCTTTGGATCTGGGAACCTAGCAGCTGATTTTAAAGTAGGACCAAAGGGATTTCAGGGAAAAGAAACTTAAACAGGAATTCAGAAGGTCTGCTCTGCTGGAAGTCCTATTATCATCTCAGGAGCAAGGATGCCAGGACCTGGGTGCCCTCTTTTGTGATTCCACAGTGGAGACAGGCCTCGAGGATTTGATCCTGATCACTTGGTAACCCAAAATTGCAAAGAGAAAAGAACTGCACAGTGCAAATGATAAAACATTCTTACCTTTGGAGAAGTTGAGCTACAGTGAGAATTCCTTACAGAGAATATTTTGGTTTTATATACAATACACTTATTTCATTAAATTTTTTTCTATTGAAATGAAAAGTTAGGTACAAGACCCCCTCTTCTTCCTTGGCAATGAATAATAATATACTAACTTGAAATCAAATGCATCTATTTTTCAAGTTTGTGCTTAGGAACTATAGATCTAGTATATAGTTCAAGGGGTCCTCACGGACTTTTCAATGTTTCAAGAATGTCTACCAAATTTTTCTTTAATAATGATGCATATTTTAGCTGATTTTACTTTGAACTAATGCTGATTAGACATTCTGATTTGTTATTATGAATCTTTAATGTAAAATAGAAATATAAAATAATTATTATTGCTAAAATTTCTGCTTGTTTGCTAGGCAAAATCTTTGATTACATATCTATGGAGGAATAAAAGACTAATTAAACATAACCTACATGAATAAAAACATAAGGACCCTGACCTAGCCTTCATATAAAACCTAGGAGAGAATTCCTGAATTAGAAATTATTGGCTGTCTTAAAATAACGATGAGAAGATACTTAGGGCAGGATAGCTGAGAACTGGATGAAATGCTCAAGCATATCATTTACTAATCTCTCCCCCTTTTTCTTCTCTTCCTTCTCCTTTCTCTTTCTTTCTCTCATATATACACATGTACAAACAAACACATAGACTAATAATTAATTGCAGGACTGACTGAGACACTCTCTCGTCCTTAGCCTTCTACCCACAAACAGCCCCTCCTCAGACACTGCCCACTAAGTAAGTTTGACCACAGCAGGAAGGCCCAATCCCTAGATCAATGTGAAGTTTTCTGATAGAATGTGCCTGTTACCTCAGCACTGTTGTTCTGGCTGGAAACTGTGTTGGTAGAATATACCCTCCACGAATGAAAAGGGGAATTACATCCAGAGGAGCAGGAACTTCAACAGACTTCTTCAGCCAGGAAGGTGATACTTGCCTTCCCTAGCACAGAACAAACCAGGGTTAAACCCCTCCAATTTCACAACTGGTAACAAGTAACAGATCTCAGGAGACACAGGAAGTCGAAATCCAAACTTCTGTTTAAATGCAACAAAGCACTCATGGAATTTACTAACAGAAAGGGTAACTTAAATGTCTGTATCAGTGTTAAAAAATGAAAAAAACTTAAATATACTCCAATATGTAAAACACATGAAAGCAGCATTCATTAGTATATACTTATTTCAGATGTTATTATAACTTCATAACCATACTTACTTATTAAAAAATTAAATGACAAGAATGCACATTAACTTTGGGTTCCAACATGTTAAAATCTGATGTAATATCGCTTTTGTGTGAGCATTTTTATTATACTCAATTTTATTAAGAAGTTTTATTAAGAAATGTAATACAAATGTTTAAGGAAATTTATGAAGCATCTCTACAGCCTATAGTTTGAAAACTATTGATTTAATTGTTTAAGATATTATAATAATCTGACCACGAGAAGGACAATTCTTAATACCACTTGCTCCAGTGAAAACTAACTGACAGTTTGAAAATAGATTGCATATTCTTTCTTCAAATGAGAGCAGTTATATAGTTAACATCTAAACTTATTCCTATAAAATTTCTTGAAGATTGGGTAAAATTAACTAATGCTCATCAAAATACACTACAAGAATGGGAGAAGAGAACTCCACTATGGGACACATGTCACTTGTTTTCCTCACATTCCACTGCTGCTCCCCATTACAGAGCCCATTGTCCCTGCTGCGTACATAGATTAGGTGTAATTTATGTAGAAAAGGTCAGTTATATCAGTGATATTATATTTCTTGGGCATTTAAGCTATGAAACATGGAAAAGATCCTGCCACTTATGACAGAGGCACAAAGGATGTATTAAAAGAAGTCCAAATATAGAGTCCATTAGAAGCTGAGGCCCTCTGAAAGTTAACTGTTAATAAAGCAAAATGGTCCCATGGAATGCTGAGTCCTGGTAATGGCACAACCTGGGCTGAAATTTCACAAACTTGCAACTGAATCCTGAACTTCTCTAGGAAATCCAAGGCTATCAGAGTTGCTGTTCTTGGATTTCCATAAGACTTATTTTGTTATTTCATGTGTATCCCTGTAATAAACCCCATACATGAGTAAACTTGAATGGGTTTTTGTTTCTTGCAAGATAAAGTATCTGATTCATGAATTATATCTATTCAACTCTGCTACAAGGAAATATCACTATGTAGAATCATTTGCTTTTAAGATTTAAGTGTTTGCATAAAATAAATGTCTACTCTACTTCTAAAAAAATTCATTCTACTAATATCTCTCATCTTTAATATTTGCTTATCTATATATGTCCTAATTCTATAATTTTGACAAGAGTAAACAATTATAAACATACAGTTCAATGCTCTAAAAGTCATATAAAACAGTGAAAAAACAGCATATAAATCTCTGAGTTCACAGATTTATACTATTTTTCTATAAAATACATACTGTATAAAAGTCAAACCAGGATGCTTCAGGAAAATACACATACACAGATCTTGCTCCCTTTGAAAAAAAGAAAACATTAGACTTTTCAAAATATTTTGTTGTATTAAAGTATTCCACTAAAATTATAAGTTTGGCTCCTGGGATATTGAATCCTATTGTATTTAGCATTAAAACAAAGTACTAGTCAACTCATACAAGATTGTGCAATAGGAAAAGAAAAGATTATGCAATAGAGCTAGACTCTCCATGGAACATGCTTGTTTTCTAAAAGGACTAATTGGGATTGCTATATTTCAAAACATTAAGTCTCAGTATAATGTAGATATATTCTATTACTAACCATGCAATTACTTTGTGGCATTTTAGCTCAATGGCAATTGTGATATAGTTATTTAAAAATGTAAAATATGAAATACTTACCAATTTATTTAAAAACTCTTCTGAGCCCTGAATGGTGTGGCTCAGTGGGTTGGGCATCCTCCTGCAGACTAAAAACTTAGCAGTTCTATTCCCCATCAGACCATGTGCCTGGCTTTCAGGCCAGGTCCCCAATGAGGGGCATGCAAGAAACAACTTACCAATGTTTCTCTCTTTCCCTTTCTCCCTCCATTCCCCTCTCTCTAAAAATAAGTAAATGAAATCTTTTTAAAAAATAAAAACTTTTTTGAGTTCTAAGTATAGATTTGTTCTCATGTATGTTATATATTATGTGTATGCTTCATATTTATATACACATATGTATTCGTATATACATGGTAGATCTATATTATACTTGTGTATGTTTGTGTATGCATTTTTAGATGAAGCTGTGATGAATTCAGCAACAATCCAGAAATAAAGAAAATAGTTGCTTTAAAGAATCCCATAAAGGCCCAGTTTTGGTTCTTGTTGTAGCTCTGACAAGTTCATCGAGGCTAGTGAAATTTGACACAATAAGCAGGCAGCCTTGAAAGTATTTTTCCTATCCCTGGGAATTCTAAGATTTAGTCCCAGAAGTTTCCACAGATGGGCATCAATGCATCCTCATGACACCCATCCTGCCCATTCTCCTGCATTAGTGGCTTTCACCGCAGTCCTCTCCGATTACAGTCATGTTGTCTTTCCCTCTGTGAGTCAAGTTTGGGGAAGACAGCTTTCCGGAGGAGAAGGAAAAATTGATTTGAAACAAGAATTTGGGATTTGGGGTTTGTTTGTTTCTTTGTTTTTCAAAAAGGCTAGTGAAGCAACTGATGTTCTCAGAATAGACTTTTTACTGTTACATTGGCATAGATGAACAAAGTACTTTATCTTTATTCTTTTTAATATAGTATATTTTGGGGGGTCAATAGCTTACAAGTTATCTTGTAATTAATTTGGGAACCTCTGAATAGCAGAAGCATGTATTTAGGTTTTGCTGAGATGTGCTTAACATGAGATACATTTTATGTAAGGTAAAATAAACATAAATACATTGTTTACAAATAAAAGAATGTAATGATGTAAGAAAAACAGGAGACTATGGCAAGCCTGGACTGGTTGTAAGTATCAGATGGCACCAAGGTAAACTGCTGTGAATATCTATATGTGCTTCTGACCTGGTAGCTCAGCTGCGTAGAGCATTGTCCCAATATGCCAAGGTTGTGTGTTTGATCCCCAGTCAGGGCACATACAACAAGACAACTAATGAATAAATAAATAAGTAGAACAACAAATCTTTCTCTCTCTCTCTCTCTCTCTCTCTCTCTCTCTCTCTCTCTGTGCTCTTCTTCCTCCATCTCCTCCTCCTCTCTCTATACTCAATATTAAAAAAAATAATAACCATACTGTGCTCATATAAAATTCTGGCACTTACCTCTTCAAGTACTGGAGCAATCATTAAAGCTGGCCCCCAAAGGAATGCTCTGTCAATTTCATGAGTCTGAGGATCTGATGTAAATCTGGATTTTTAGGGTGAAAAACCATTAATCTAATCAAATTGATGACTTTGTGTAAGTAACTAAAGTCTTACTCGACCACCTCAAGTTCACCAAGAAAACCAAAAAGTAACAACAGGGAAAGGTTTAGGGTCCAAGCAGTTTTAAGAATAAAATCTTATCATCAACTAAAGCAACTGGAATCAGTTGTCTTCCTTGATCAGAAGATAAATGGGCATTAAGGCTGAGGTCAAAACAGTGCCAAGCAATCAAATTGTCTTAAGTTTTTGTTGTTCCTTTTGTATCTGCCTTTAAGGATTTGGCATCAATTCCATCTCTTTCACAAAGCTGTCCATTTCATTTCACAGTGAACCTGCCCTTCTTTGAATTTTTATAGGCTGTGCCACATAATCAGGACATAAATATGTAATGTTCTGTATTATACTCAGTTTCTTTGAAATCTGGTATTTGCAATCTTTCCAGTCCTCTGTGGGCAGGGATCGCGTTTCATTCTTTTTTCTGTATTCCTCACCATTTGGACAGCAAGACAAAACCTTTGCTTTTGTTAGGTGATTGAAAGTGTTTTCTTAAATAAATTCTTCAAATTTGTACACTATTTCTAGTCACAGTCAGTAGGGGGAAAATCTAACTTTCATATTTATTTAGCCCCCAAAGAATTCCCTTAGTAGGAGAAACAAGGCTTCTAGGATCAATGTGGCAGAAAATCTAAGACTGGAACAATTATTAAGTTGACTTACTCATGCATCAATCCTCGGACCACTGTATTTCCACTGACATGAGAATGGTAGAAGAGGGTATACAGGTAAGGCAGTAAGGAGTATCTAATCCTTAATGCAGAACGGGAAATTGCAGCAAACTCTTCTCCAAAGACCCCAGGGTCTTGTTCCTATAAAAGACAAACATTTTGATAGACTTATTACCTGAAGTGGGGAATCTTAAGTGTTACTTTTTTTCTCTTTGGGGGTTAGGGAGAAACAGAACATTTTAAAAATATTTCTTTCAACTTGAAAGCCTCTCACAGTAGGTTATTGCAAAGTTGTTTCTCAGTTAAATGCATTCTACAAAGTTTACATATTACACATGTATAGCAGCTATCATTTTACATTAACTCTAACTCACCTTATGTCCAATTGCATTATGGTTTCTGGAAAAGGGATAAAATGCCCCAAGTTGCATCCAACGCAGGCAAAGTTCATAAGTTGTCTCTTCATTAAACCCACATATATCAGCTCCAATCTGGGGAAAGATTTTTGTGACTTCAAAACATATTACTTATTAATTTTGCCATAAAACCTGCACTGAAATATTTTAGAGTATATTATTTTTAAATTTTAATGTGGAATCTGGAAGTGTAAAAATCCTTTTTGAGAAGAACACTTGGACTAAAATAATGACAGTTCCCTCTTGTCCACCTTGATTTAGAAAAATCTGTGCTGGTCTACAGCACAGTATAATTATCTTTTAGGTCATCCAACATGCCTATGGTTGCTTTCTGTTTTCAGGTACAGTACCATAAACTCCCTGTCTCAGTATGAGAGTTAAAGACATAGAAATTTAGCTAATCCAAAATCTTAGTGGCTATGCACTCAGACTGGAACAAAAGGCCCAGGATTACTGCACCAACTATGCTCTCCTTTTTATCACATAAAGTTACAGATACTTTGCTTCCTTATAGCTATTGCCTCCTTAAAAACAATTTGAGGCCTACCTCAGTCTTCAAATTGTTTTATTCCAGAACTCTTATTCTCTCAGAATCTTCAAGCCCAAAACTCAATTAATGTTGAAGTTTGTACCCAAAAATATCATGAAGAAGTAAAACATGGAGTCATACCACATGTCACTTGTAATAGCAATGTTAGTTCCCTGAACAAGGGGGTTGTTGTCTACTGAAACTCGAAGGTTGTCAGTGGAGAAAACCAGGTCGTGCTCCTTTTCTCTCTGAGACCACTTATATCATAAGTTTTGCCTATCAGTTTCTGGCCCGGACAAAACTTGAAGCTGGATTTCATTTTCAATATTTATTTAGAAATTCTTCTTTGAAAGTACCTCATCTATCACTTGAACAGCAAATGCAATTCTCACTAAATTTGAGTTTACAACAATTTTATTTGAAGCTTTCCAAAATAAGACAAATATTGCTCTGTATTACTTCTTGTAAAAAGCCACTGGGATATGGGGTATAATAAAACTGGTATAATAAAACTTTCAAAATTTGTGAACACAGCCGCAAATTCTTTAACAGCTAAATTGTTTATCATTAGGGCTCAGATAAGGAAGTAACTTGCGGTATGTTTAAATATGTTGCTGATTTAATTTCACTTCCTCCCTTTCTAGAAGATAGACGCCTCTGAATGACTTTCTATCCCTCCTCCCCAATTGTCTGCCCCTTCTTTTCTCACCCATTATCTGTAGAGCTCATGGGAATAAGCTGTGGATGGAGTAAGGACAGAGGGAATAAACTTCTCCAGTTCTACCATGACCAAGTGTCTTATGACATAAAACAAGCAAGCAAAAATAATTAAGAAATATGCTGTCATCTGCACATCTACATATGTGGAGGGCGATGCTACTGTGGCAATATGAAGTGTATTACTTATAATGTCCTGAAAACAGCTTGAGCGCATTTTATCTTCATAGAAGTAGTTTGACACCCCCAAATAATACTGGTTGACAGATAAGCCTTAATTTCACTGAATGCTTAATTTTATAACTTACATATGGAATTCCAAAGAGATTAAATTCTAGCATTCCAATGATCGACATATGCATATCTCTCCAGCGTGAGAAGTTATCACCCAGCCAATGGCCAGTGTATTTCCCACTCCCAACAAATGTTGAACGACTCAAAACAAAAGCTCTCTTCCCTGTAGCATTCTGAGAAGCACTTGAAAAAACAAGAAAAACTTTCTTCAGTATTATTCTAAAAACATCTCCCCCCGAAAAAAAACCCATATGATCTTAAAGTGTATGAATAAATCTCTATTTCATGTAATTTAAGTATTTTATCAAAGGTATAAATCTGTGTGAACATGAAAGGGAGGGACTGAAGGTAATAAAAAGAGAACTATTAAAAGCTAATGCTGAACATCCAAACCAAATTTTCTTACACTAAACTTTTTCTTGTGAGTTATACAATAGTGCAGGTACTGCAGGGTTCCTCAACCATGACCATATACTAGAAACATGAGAGCTTGAAAAGAAAAAGAAAAGAAAGAAAAGAAAGGAAGGAAGGAAGGAAGGAAGGAAGGAAGGAAGGAAGGAAGGAAGAGAAAGAAAGGAAGGAAGGAAGGAAGAGAAAGGAAAAGAAAGAAAGAAAGAAAGAAAGAAAGAAAGAAAGAAAGAAAGAAAGAAAGAAAGAAAGAAAGAAAGAAAGAAAGAAAGAAAGAAAGAAAGAAAGAAAGAAAAAGAAAGAAAAAGAAAAGCATCAGGGTCAGTTAGCTAAAGGGCCATAAAACTTTGGGAAACAAACTCATTTCACGCTTGGACCCTTATCAGAAAACCGAGGACATTCTTAGCAAACCAGGTTTCACAGGATTTTGTGCATTCTTTCTTAGTCCTGATTACCCAGGGGAACCTGCCCTTTCCAGCACAGGGACACACCCACCTCCAGCATTGTTTCAGGCTTAAGTCAGGCAGGGGAAGTAAGGCAGCCAAGAGATCAGGAGACTTCTTGGAGACAGAATGAGGACTCAGGCTATGTCAAAGCCAAGGGGCGAGGGTCCATCACCCCCTTTTCTACAGTCCCCCAAGTCCTTCCCTGAGGGCCCCTTCAAGAATGTGCCTGTCTTAGGTCATCCCTCCCTTGAGGAATCTTACCGGTCATTGGCTAACCAGTCATCTGCCTGGGACCTGGCAGCGTGAAATAAAAGGGGGCAGAGGCAGTGCCCCTGCCAGGGAAATAAGCTTTGTCTCCTTAGTGGCTTATGGTCCCAAGGTCCTTTACTCAGCCTTAGCCACAGGGAGTTACAGCTTCTGAAACCAGACAGGGTGGTTCCCAACAGTATATTTGACCTTTGTTGTTGTTGTTGTTCTTTGTTTGTTTGTTTTCCTTTAACATCTAAATCTGGTCTCTACTCTATTTCCATTCTGCTCCTAACTTTGGGCACCATTCATACTCTTCTACCATTTCTTTTGACCTCTTATATCAAACCACCCTGTTACTTCATTGAAAAGCTGACAGTTGTTTCAATCCACACATGTACAACATACATCATCTAAATTAGTTTGTTTACAAAGTTGATATATCTCTTTCTGTCCTGGAAAACTTGACTAAAATCTAGTGAAATATAAAGCTCCTTGAAGGCAGGGACTTATTTCTGTTTCGCTTGTTCATGTATTCACCAGTACCTAGAACAATGCCTGTCGAGTCGTAGGGTGTGCCATAAATACATTTTGAAAGCATGAAGGAAGAAAAGATAATTTCTTCAATATTTTCTTGGATGTTGGGATAGATGAAAGTCACACCATCTTGATTCACAAACTTCTTAGAATGCTAATTTATGTTTAGATATGTAAAGAAAAATATCATTTAGCCTTGGCTAATAAAGATGAAGTTTCTAAAATTGATTGTCACAAAAAATATATGAATTTAAACAATGATTATTGTTGAGAATGGAGACTCATCTCATGGAAAATTTCATACTTTCAATTCTGCTTTACAAGAGGGTATTAGGTTGTAAAGGATGGATATACTTAATTGCATTCTGTAGGGGCTAGAACAATTCAAATATGAGTTACCGAGGCAAAGTCACATCGTTATTCCCTGTTAGACTCAACAGAAAAAAAGTCAAGGACTTTTCCTCTCATGTCATTCTAGAATAAGGCTGTGTCAGAGCCTCCTAGTATTTGTTTTCCTACACTGAGGTTAGAGCTAAAATTATAGCTAAAGGAGAAGTTGAAATTTATTTGGTGCTTGTTTAACCATTTTTAAATGTAACCTATAAATAAGAAGTTAATTGAAATATGTTTTGCAATCAGATTTAGCTTAAACTACATCTAGCTCTTCAATATAAAATACATGTAATTTTGAGCATGTTACTTAACTACTATAAAATGAGGCTAATAAAGCTTAACTTTACAGGATCAATATAATGTTTAAATGAAAAAGAGTAATATATGAAAGCACATCTCACCCAGCTGGCACATAACACGTGCTTAGCAAAGGCTCACTCCCTTCCTGAACTTTCTAAACTGTGCCTAGCAATTACCACCCCAGATCTGCTTCACCCTATTACACAACCTAAATTTCAGTTTTAGTCATTATTTATTTATGTAGACTCTAAGACAAATTATTTTGTTTCATGAGGATAAAATACAGAGAAGAGAAATGTTAAATTATTAGATTAGATTGAATAATAGAGGCTCTGGTAATACATTCAGTAAACACTTTTTATGCCTTCTCTAGATAAAGTTTGCTAATGCTTCCACTTAAAACTATTTTTATGCCTTCTGGGAAGTAATTTTCATTATTTGAGTTTCATTAAGTTCAGAATTTGGAAATCATGTTCATTTTTCATCCCTGAGATATAAGAAGTGTTCAGACATATATTCTTCAATACTGAAGAGGAATACAAGTCCACACTTTCTCCTCCTCTCTCTCTCCTCCTCCTCCGTCTTCTTCTTGCATAACTTCCTTGATGAGTTAAACACAATTAACAGTTTCTTGGGTAACCTAGGTATAAGTAGTACATTCTAAAATCTAAAGAACTGATTCTTTGCCTTTTTGATACAAATTTGAAATGGCTTATTCAAATAAAGGTGAAAAAGGTAAAGGGATGAAGCAAAGAATAAATACCTCATAGACACAGACAACAGTACGGTGAGTGCTAAAGGGAGGGGGGTGTAGGGAGGTAGAAGAAGGTAAAGAAGGGATTAATGGTGTTGGAAGGAGACTTGACTTGGGGTGTGAACACACAATACAGTATACAGCTGATGTATTATAAAATTATACACCTGAAACATGTATAATTTTATTAACCAGTGTCACCCCAATAAATTCAATACATTTTTTTAAAGAACAAATAAATCTCAATAGTTGAAAGCCACTTGATTCTGTTTTTTTAACTGGCCACATTAAAAAATATATTCAGAATGTTGTCTATCAAGTTTACTACATATTTTTAAATGTTGTTTTCAGTCAAATTAATACCTAAATATTTTTCAGTAGTAGGTAAGAGAGACCCTGGTTAAATGATCCTTATATTCTTTTTCAGCCCCATAATTCTCCATCATGTTCACTAAACAAATTTCATTAAGTTCCCTGAACTCATAGCTCTAGGAAATAGATATATTTCAGAGCACAGAAATGGAATGTATTTGTACATGACCAAAATAATCAGTTCTATTTTGATCCTGATAACTTAAAAACCCACTATTTCTGAGAGTTCACTTTATAAATCAAACAAGCTGACTCTGAGTCATATATATTTTGCCTATACTTATGACAAATTGTTAAAGTACTCTAATGAACCTGAATTGGAACGAACACCTGTTTTAAACAGACAAGGATGCAGTAAGTGGAAACACAGTGTTCTGTAGCTGAACTGCTGAACCTAATTCTACTAATGCAGGCTACGAGAGTCTCCCCGCAGATACACATGGGACAAGACAGAAATGGTGGGACGCAGAGGAGCAGCATAAATCAAGGGCACTGAGAGGATGCTTCTGAACCTGGGATTATTAATTCCGGGAGAGGAGAAGATGTTTGCCGAGCTTTCAGCAGACTGCACTTGATGTCTTAGACATGTGGCAGCACGAATCCTGACGTTTGCTTCTAATGCCGGGGACTTTACACATTCCCATTTAACCAAGCTTAAACTGGCTCTATTCAGAGGTGATGAGGTAAGATAAAGGGGGTACTAGTGCACAACTTTAAAGTGTATTAACAACTACTTCCTAAATTATAAAATTCTCCCCAAATTGTCTCTAACATTGATCCGAAATCAAGATTTTAGCTTCAGTGGTCTGTGTAAGTTTTTATGCCTCGAATAAGGTCATCCTGCTCTGCTTTTGTGCTATTGCAACAGGCTGTTAAAAATCTTTGTAAAATCAGTGTGAACATTTAATAAAAATAATAAATTGGCAAGACAAAGTCTTAGAAGAGGAAGATTACTCACTAGTCCTTGAAAAAAATTAAGAAACAAGAACTTGTACCATCAGCCTTAAATAAAATTTTCCTGTTTCTTAAAGGATATTTTAATAAAAAGTTGTGGATACTAAAATAAAACATTTCAAGGAGATATACAAACTACTCACTAGAAAGTAGGTTTTGCTTGTGACCAGCCAAACAGAGAATGTGTATCATAATGATATCCCAGATAAGTCTTGGAATTGGGACATAATGTTTTCTCAGCCAGTAATCCACCTGTGATATCTAAAAATGAAACAAGATAAATATTCATTCTTAACATAGTATAAATATCCTTATAGCATTTTGTATCTTCATTTACATATTGGTCACCCTCACTAGTGTATAAGCTTCTTGAAAATATTAAATGTCTTTCAATCAGTGACAATAGTGTTATAATAACATGATCACTTTTTTATTTGTATCTTAAATTTATGGACATAGTTGGCTGATAGTATGAAGACTAAGATGGATTTCTCTCAGAAATACAAAGTTAAACATTAAAAATCAATCAATATAACTTATATACTAATTTATAATATATAAGTTATATATTATATATAACAATATAATATATAAATTATATATAATTTATATATATTGAAGTTGAGATTCAGCTACTCTTCAAGATAACTCCCTACTCCCTAATTCTATCACTGTATTAAAACCTGGAACAAGTAAATTAGATGCGGATTTGATTATACATGACAATCATATCCCACTAAAACACAAGGTACCATAATATGGAAATAATTCTTATCATATGTTCTTAATAGTTCTCCAGAGAAGTATGGATGTAAAAACCTGCACTCAGAAAGACTGATTTAAAAAACAGGGTGAAAAGGGTGTGTTGTATGCGGAAAGCCATGTAGCGTTACCTCAGGCCGCACTGAAGCAAAGGTTGCAACACTTGGTCCAAAGATTTGTCTTTCAGCAGCTCCACTCCGACCCTTGCCGTGGCAGGGGTTGAAGGGAATGCTTGGATGCAGGTGATAGGCCTCTGACAGTGTTGCTGCTGGGAAAGCATAAGCCCTGGAGATGTGCCTAATATTTGAACCAGTGCCAGCGTTCCCAAATCTCCTGATCTGTCTCCCTTGTGCATAGATTTAGAGATGACCAAGTCAAATCACACCTCTCAAAATGTATACAGTATGTATCACAGAGGCTTGCCTTAAATCTACTCAGAAATAGCTCTTTGTATAGTGGATTTAATGGAGTTCTTTGTAAGGGTCCATTCTGTGAGTTGCCTTACTCTTATATTTCTGTAGCTTCTTGGCTTTTTCTCCTGGAATCATTAATTTTATATTTTATCACTTTTTAAATGCACTTTGTTCATTTCAACATGGCAGCAAGGATAGAAAAAGTCTAACACACAGGAAATCTCATTGTAATCCAGATTCTGCTGCCTTGAAATGTTTGCCTCTTTTTTAGATCTTCAAAATTGAGATTTTTAACATCATTTCAAAGCTGTCTTTATGAAATATTGAAGATATATAAGATGTTAAATACTGAAAGTATTTGGTCTCCCTGGAAATGGGGGAAGAGGTGAGAAAATCACGTCCATTTAAAGCACTTTTGTTTCTACCATAAACTTTTCTCCCAACCTATTATTATTTTGAAAGAACGTGTGTTTCTAAGGAGATGTAGAGCCTCTTGACATTAAATTCCTAAATCTACGCATCTGAGAATAAGTCTAATGGAACTTTTAATGATTTTTCAAAACGTAATACACAACTGAATCACCTTACCTTGGTCATCAGTTGTGGCTTAAACTTAACTACACACATAGCTCAGCTCAAGTTAAAGCTGTTTGTAGTACCTGTGAAATAGTGACCTAGGACTCTAGATACTATGTAATAATTTTCTTACACCCCATAGACAAAGGCAGCAGCCTCATCCTATTCTTTCACTCCTGAGAAAACATCTGAAGCACTAACTACATCATAACAGGGCCAGCCTGCTTGGCCATAATGAAAAAACTGGAACAAATGTAAATAATTAGCCACTGGAATGTAGTAGCAAGTATGGAACTCCTGTGCTTCAACCGGAATATAACTCCTAATTACCTCAAAAGCCTAACCTTATACAATCAGAAACACTCACCCATCAAAGAGACTATACAAAAGGTTAAAACCTTACATCAGCGATTTTCAGCCTTTCTCATTTCATGGCACACATAAACTAATTACTAAACTTCTGCGGCACACCAAAAAATACATTTTTGTTGATCTGACAAAAAATAGGTATAATTTTGATTCATTCACACTGGATGGCTATTGTGATATTGCCTGTTGTCATTTTTTTTATTTGACAGTCTAAGGGAACAGAGGTCAGTGTCCCTGACTAAAGAGTCAGGTATTGCACGTTGTAAAGATTCTTGCCACACACCAGTGTGCCTGCCACAGCACGCTGGTTGAAATTGCTGCCTTAGATTGTTGAATTGTAAAAGAGGGAAAAGGAAATTTAACATTGGTTAAAAATAGCACAGGGAATAAGAATATTCGTCTGATGCAGCCTCAGACCGTAGTCACGAGGCTCAGTGTCCTGGTAACACTCGCCCTGACTCCACGCTGATTTCTTCAATGCCTTTTGCAACAATCCAGTGCATTTTAGAAAGAATGTGTCTGAGAACTTGACTGGTCTTGTTTCTAACTTTCATGTCCCAAGGTGGTATTAATAGTCACTTTTTTCTCTGATTCATACTCTTTCCATTTTATGTAAGTCTCACATAGTGATGGACTTGATATGTAAAAGAATATAAACCAGGATAAAGGTAGCTGAGCATTAGGTCTTTGTTATTGAAACAATGATCCTAGTTAGGATAAAAATGAGGACTGTCTTAGCTAATTCTGGCTTCACACCCTGAAGCAATAAAGATAATGGAAACCTGTTGTAACAATCATCCCCTAGATTAATTGCTTATTTGTCATATTTTGAAGAGTTCTTAGAGTTAAATTTAAATCCTCCAAAATTGTTTCTAATAGATACAGTAGTAGCATTTTTTTTCTACACCTATTGCTTGTCACTCACCTGCTTTATATAGAATGTTTTAAATCCTTACCCTGCAAATTTGAATTCATATTCCCATTTTACAGTCAAAAGAAAGTTCCCCAGCCTGGGAAGGGATTAAGCTAGGGCCTGGAGCCCATGTGACATTGGTTGTGTGGTACCCCTGTCCTCCAGCAGGCTGCCTTCTTGGGGCATGCTCCACATCCCTAGGCAGGATGGGTCATAGGCGCCTTGTTGCTGGAATTATTGTGTGTGATTCCTTTGACTCCTTGACCTTTTTATTCTCTCTATTCCTCATCCTTTGCTTCAAGAATGCAAACCACAAATGAATCCTCAATACTGCCTGGGAATCCTGCCATGCTTCTCTCATAAACCCATTTTGCCACTGTCTGATATGACTGTGGAGGACCTCCTCTCTCTTAAAACATCCTACTCCTCAAATTCAATCCCAATTTCCTATCACTTCCACTGATGAACAATCCTTTAAGACAGAAGCTTTTTTAGTGGGAAGAACTTCAGCCTCTCACCAGCTAACCCATCCATGTATGAGCATGTGTACACAGTTTCTTCTTCCTCCAGCAACAATAAAGTGTGTCTGTTCTTTTAAAGCTCCCTCCCTTCACAACTAATGCCATCCTAGAATCTCTTCTCAATGACTTCAATCCTTGAATTACCTCTTCTTTCTTTTGCATTAGCCATTGTGTTCAATATACTGACTCATTCTTGACAGCAAAACCCTACTCTACTATCTCTCATTTTGTAAAAAAAAAAACAAAAAAAACACACACAATATCCCTTTGTACTCACATTCTCAGTTACAGCCCCACTTGTCTGCTCCTGTCAGAGTCAAACCTGCTGAAGGTTGGCTTACACCTCTGTCTCTACACCCTCACTCCCGTTCACTCGGAGTGCAGTTTCGATATCTATTCCCACTATTCCACTGAAACTAATATGGATGGTACTTCCAGTCTCCATGTTGCTCAGGTGGACACGTCCAGCACTCAACTTGTTTAACTTTTTGATGCCATCTGACAGAATTGACAATGTCACATGTTTTTCCTGTTTCTTAGTGTCTGCATTTGAGACACGAGACATCCTTCCCCCTTATCTTCCCTTATCCCTATCCAATTGCTTCCATTTGGTTTTCTTAGCTGAAGTTTTATTTGTACCCAAAGCCAAAACGTTGGGGTAGGGGTCTAATCGGGCCGAGTTTGGAGGGCCCACTTGTCAAGTGTATCTTTTATACTCTGACATTCTCTGTATATCAACTCATCCATCCCTGTGGCTTTAAACACCAGTTTTATACATATAATTCACAGTTTGTTATTTCAAGCCCAGGTTTCTTCCCTCCAGTTTTACAAATCTTGCTGCCTCCTTGGTATTTTCATTTAGCTATGTCACCGAACAATGAAAGAAAGGCACAACCCTTGAACACCATATCTCCCACTTAATAACTACCATGTGGAAGGACTTCAGTATCTCATGGAGTCAAGGAATGGGAATGGGAATACAGGGTTTACCAGTCTCAAGTGGATTTTATTTCCATTTTTGCTTTTCCCTTTTGTTCTGGTTTCACAGGGAAATGAATCACTGTACTTGCAAATGGCTGTAATTTCAAGGGAAATGTACATGAAGTGCTGTAATCACTCAAACTAGAAGTCTGCAGTCAAGGATAAGCCTCTCAGTCTGACTGCAAAACTCTACTTCTCAGTCAAATCTTCACAACTTTCCTATGTCATAGCATTTTTTATTATATGTGATTAATTATAGAAATAGCACAACTGTGGAAATTATAAATTGTAAACACCTTGTAGCCAAAGGAAAGGACTTAGACATCTAAGAATCAGCTGCAATGCAACACAAACAAATTCAGCTCCCTGACTCCTTATTAAGGATAGCCAAGGAAGGAAGCCTATGCATCCTTCTTAGAGAAGTAAGGACACATCTCACAAACATTCCAAGGCCTTCCCACCAAAGGGATATAATAGGTACTCATACGTGTTCTAAATTTCTGGATTATTCCTACATTGGGGAGCTACATAAGAAAATGTATACTTTCCTAAAAACTGATAGCATTAAAAAATTTTTCCCCATGAAATATAAAAATGTTTCTAAAGCACTTGACACTTTCAGTGTACTTACCAGGCACATATGGTGGGTAGTTTAGACGATTCTCTACACAGCCTGGCTGTTGGCCATTTTGAAAATTGGATGGTTCATTCATATCCTTATATAAAAATAGAAACTCAATGAGTAATAACAGGCAGAGTTTTCCTACTTTCCATTAGGAAAACAGAGCACATTAAGATCATTCATTCATTCAACAGACATATTTTGAGTATCTAAATGTGTGACATAGTAAGCTAGGAGCTCCATGAGGCATTGCAATAAACAAGGTAGTGTCCCTGGTCTCTAGGAGCATACAACATTTTTCACAAATATGTAAATGTCACAGAACAGAAATGGTGGTATCTATTTCTGTTCTGTGAAAGATAATTCCACACTTCCAAGGGATGTAGACACAAACTATTATTTTTTTTCTTGTAGCTCACTTCTAATCTGTTGATCAATCCTGTCAACTGTGTCTTCAAAACATACATAATGTGGCCATGTCTTCTGCACTGCATTGCCAGGCTACAACGCCATCGTGTCTTGCCTGGATTGTCACAGTAACTGCTTAACTGGTCTCTCTCTTCCACGTGGGCCCAGAGGTAGATTTATTTGGAATCTAAAGAAACTTAAGTTTCATGGTCAGTTTTTACATGACTCCTTCATAATTCTATACCTACAATTCTTTTGTAATTTTTAATGATTTTTCTTCAAAAGAGCTGCCAATACTTTATAAAGTTCCATAAAATCTGGATTCATTTCTGCTTTCACGTTGCTTTTTGCCTTCCTACAGTCTACTGTCAATACAGTGACTAGAATGCCCCTTTCAAACCTGTGCTCCAAATCCTCCATCTTTTTCCCATCTCACTCAGAGTAACACCTCACAGTTGGTCTACAGTGCCTTTCGTGACACTGCCTCGCTATCCCCCTGCCCTTCTGCTCTGTGATTGCTTCCCTGACCACTCTGCTCTAGCCATGCTGGCCTCCTTGCTGTTCCTGGAAAACACCAAGCATATTCTGCTCAGGGCTTCTGCCTGTACTGTTCCCTTGCCTCAATGTTCTTCCCTTCGATATCCCCCCAGCTTGGCCTCTGGTCTTTGTCATCAGTTATAACCTTCCCTGTCCACTCGATTTAGACTGCAGACTTTTTTAATTTCCTAAGTTTTCTACCTGATTGCTATGGTTTGAGTGTTTGTGGCCCCCTCTCAAAATCACATGTTGAAATCCAAACACCCAAAGATGATGGCACTAGGAGGAGGGGCATTTGGGAGGTGACCAGCTCATGTGGGTGATGGCCTCCCTGAGTGAGATTAGTGCTTTTTATAAAAGACACCCCACAGAACTCCCTAGACTTTTCTACCCCAGGAGGGCACAACAAAGAAGTCCACAACCTGGAAGAGAGCCCTTACCCAGCCACGCTGGCACCTGATGTCAGACTCCTTCCTCCGGAATTGTGAGAAATAAATTTCTGTATTTTATAAACTAATCAGTCTGAGTGGACTAAGTAGCCCGGCCCAACTAGGACACCTACTTCCCAGATTAGTTTTTCTCTTTAATAATTATTATTACTCAACATACTATATCTTTTACTTATTTATTGTCTGTATCTTCTACTAAAACGTCAGCTCCTCGAAGGCAAGGATTTTTCCAAGTGTCTCCTCAGTGCCTCCAGGCACAGAGCATTTCCTGAAGTATGAGAAAGGAAGAATCACTACAAGAGTAAAGGCGAAGACTTCATGGAGAAGTCTATATGGAGGCTGCCCGTTGATGAGCTCATGGAGTCTGAACATGTAAAAATGAGGGAAAATGGGAAGAAGAGCATGAGCAAGGACACAGAAACAATAAATTATGCTACATGAGGGGAAAAATGCCCCTCTGTTGAGTAGTAAGAGCTGCCTAGCCTTCACTGCATCTCCTGGTCAAGTGAGTCTGTTTGCAAGTGTTTCTCTGGCAGAGTGGGGCCTGTTGGGCATGTGAGTTGTGACTGTCCCAATAGATCATCAGCACCACCCTAGGGTTTTTCTCCTCTGCACTCTTGCATGTGCTGTTCCCACTACCTGGAACACTTCCACCCACCCCCACCCCCGCGTCACTTCACTAACTCGTATTCATTGGCTGGTTCTCATCTTAACCATCAGCTCTATTGGTCAAGTCTGAACTTCCAGACTGAGTTCAACTGACCTGAGTTCAAGTCCTTCATCTGTGTACCCACTGTATTCAGTGCTTGCTCTCTCATGGCCACACAGGAGCTCATTTGTCAGCCTATCTCCCCAACCGTGCTCCCCCCACTCCACCCTGTCCTGAGAAGGTGTAAACAGTAATGGATGCATAAACCAGTGTCATCCGGAGTAAGATAAAACCTGGATAAAGACAATGGACAAGAGGCTGCCTCTGTTACAGGAAGTAGTTCTCCCCTCCAGTGGTGCATTAGAACAGTTAAGGCAGAGACCATCAAGAAACAGAAGGGAAAAAATTTTCACTTTCTTCAACTTACTATAAAGTGTAAAAAGAGAAGTAAGTGAACATTTTACTTTTTCACCAGGGGGAAAATGTTTAAATAATCAATTCAGACTTACAATCCAGATCCCATCATAATCAAGGATGTCTTTAAATTCCATACACATCTGTATCCACCATTCTGCTGTTTTGGGGTTGGTGTAATCTGGATACACTGACTCTCCTGGAGGCCAGGCCTACAATGGACAAATAAGTCAAACTAAATAATAACTCACCTACTTTGGTATAGAAATAGCTATGGCAGGCCCTTATTTTGCATTTTGAGTCATGCACATGAAAACTGAGAGTCAGTGAAGCTAAATAACTTAACCAAGTACACCATAAACAGTAAAGCTACAGAACAAGTTTGCAGCAGGGTGGGAACGGAATCCTGCACCATGGTCCAGTGCTGCAGCCATGCAATCATGCATGAAGTCATGTTCTTCTTGTTCTGTTATACTTCCACCATTTCTCTTCTCACATAAATCTACATCCATGCCAATACAAGGATAGAAAATGTAAAATTTACATTTACAATAGCAACAAAACTTTAATATATGTATGGTATCAACAAAAGCCATAAACATAATTTAATGAAAACCACTGAACATTCATGAAGTATTCAAAAGAGGACATAAGTTGAGAGATGGAATGCTTGTAGCTGGGAAAAATCAATGTTGTATAGATGGCAAGTCACTTCAAATTGGAATGTAAAATTTTAGGTATAATAATTACATTTAAAAACATATGGACATGAGGCAAGAGTATAAAATATTGTATTAACATGCTTATTGCAGGTTTGTTTATAACACTAAGATATGATAAACAAGAAACTTTTCATCATTGGGAAGCTGTTAAACTAGTTTCCTCACATGAGAACAGTGGGATATCATACAACTATTTTAAAAGATGAGATAGTTCCATATACACAGTTTCATAGTTTCATTAGCTATGAATACATATATGTATATTCATAGTTTCATTAACATGGAAATATATTTACAATATTGTTATAGTATTTAAAAAGTTTTAAATGTCATAAGCTGTTACTTCCAATTTATGTAAAAATACTGCTACATGTATGTAAAATCTAGAGGAATGTACACTGAAATGGTGGAATGTATATTTTGGAAAAGAATAACTGTCACTTTATACTTTTTATGTCAGTATTACATAATTTTTTTACAATATTGTACTACTTTGATCATCGGAAAAAGCATTAAAAATATTTCCATTGTGTAAAAGAAAAAGTGAGAAAATTCCTTCCATTTAAGAAATATTTTATGTGTTATTCTTCAATATACATAACTTAATTTCCCAATGTAATCTCAAGCAACATTATAATCATGTCATACTTATCAAAATGTGCCTTTTCAGAATATTACAGTGTATGTTTGAATTTCACAACAATTTTATGGGACTTAAATAATTTCTTAGAAAGTCCGATTATCCATGGACTATCCATTTGGAGCCAATGCTCCAAATACTCAGAGTGAGAAGCTGCACATAATTTTTTTGAACTGAACTCAGGTGAAACCAGTTCACTGATACTATACAAACTGTGATTTTTTAAAAATCAAACACTCAGTAGAGAAGGAGGTATTCATACACTCTTCAAGGTGCTTACCTTGCCAACAGCTGGTGTGACTCCATCAGAGTTATTGACCCAAATTCCCAATTCTTGTCCAAGTTCATAGGGCTTGTAAGTACCTTGTGGTTCATCTTTTGTCAGAAAAGGATCCTGCAAATTCCCAAGAACACTGTAATTGGTAATAGTCTGATAATTGATATTTAAGTATAAACTTTTCAAGTTTTTGAACTAAGAATATTGATTACCCATATACACAGTAACATTTAATTATACTGCATACATTAAGATGTCCCTAGCTATTAAGCTGGGTTTTAAATATGAAAAGTCTATTTCCATTCATTTTTACTGCTGCAAAATGTGGACCCAAGCTATCTCAATTTAATATTGTAATCAGTTGCTTTGGATAAAAATCTCTAATTTTCCTTACTTGAAAACTTATATAAGTAGATGAATATAATACTTATGCTACTTTGGCAAACAACCTTTCCTATTTTTTTTTGGTTTGTTGCTTTTTATGCAAGATAAATTTGTGAAATTGTAAAACAAACAAACAAAAAAGTCTGGATGGAGAAATCAAGAAATTTGGATTCTACAAACAGCCTGGATAAGCCACATAATTTTAAGAGGACACAAGTTTGCCTTTCACAAAATGAAACAGTGTAGTTAGCAAACTGTAGTTTCTTCAGGTCCCTGCCCCTCTTAAAAATCAAGTTCAGGTGGGGACTGACTGTGGGAGTAGAGTGGGTGCTGGGCAGGGGAGAACAATGGAGGAAAATGTGGGACAACTGTAACTGAACAACAATAAAAAAATCAAGTCTGAAAATGAATCAAGAAGGAAAATGTTTACGATTCTATGTTCCACATTTTTCAAAAGTATTTGGCCTGGTGACTTCTGGCAAGATGGAGGCATAGGTGGACGCACCGTATCTCCACACACAACCAAGATTAGAACAACAACAATTTAGAGCTAGAATAACACCCAGAACTGATAGAGAATTTATCTGAATGGAAGTCGGACAGCCAAGAACTTGAAATAGATCCGTTCATCCAGATCAGTAGGAGGGGCGGAGCCGGGCGGGCACACAGTGATCGGGGAGAGATCAGGGAGAACTCGGCGCGAACTAGGTGTGTAAGCCATCCGGGGCGCGCAAGGTAGCAGCAGTGGACCCTGAGTACACAAGCAGCGGCTGGCGGACCCAGTGAAGCAGCGATTGTGGACCAGGGCAGAGCACGCAACCCAGGATCCCAGAGAAGGGACTGTGATCCCAGGAGAACAGAACTACCGCCATTGTTCCCTCCTGCCCCCACACCCGTCCCCAAACACAACATCACAATCTAGCGACTGGGGTACCCAGCCCAGGTAAACACCTAAGGCTCCACCCCTCACCATAACAAGAGCGACCAGACAAGGAAAAAAAAAAAGGAGAGACAGAGAGAGACATGTCTCCAACAGAAGAACAGATCAGTCTCCCAGGACTCATCCTTTTGAGCGACCAAGAAATAGCCAATCTATCAGATGCACAGTTCAAAACACTGGTTATCAGGAAGCTCAAAGAATTGGTTGATTTTGGGCGCAAATTACATGAAAAAATGCAGGTGACCATAAAAGAGATGAAAGAAGATGCACGGAGAGCCCATAGTGATAGGAAGGAAACTGGGTCTCAAAACAATAGAGTGGACCAGAAGGAAGCAAAAAACAACCAAGCAGGAAAACATGATGAAATAAAAATTCAAAAAAACGAGGAAAAACTTAGGAGCCTCCAGGACATCTTTAAACATTCCAACATCCGAATTATAGGAGTACCAGAAGGAGAAGAGGAAGAGCAACAAGTGGAAGAGTTATTTGAACAAATAATAAAGGAGAACTTCCCCAATCTTGCAAAGGGAATAGACTTCAAAGAAATCCAGGAAGCACAGAGAGCCCCAAAGAAGTTGGACCCAAGAAGAAACACACCAAGGCACATCATAATTACATTAGCCAAGGTAAAAATGAAGGAGAGAATCCTAGAAGCAGCAAGAGATAAGGGGACAGTCACCTACAAAGGAGTTCCCATCAGACTGTCAGCTGATTTCTCCAAAGAGACCTTACAGGCAAGAAGGGGCTGGAAAGAAGTATTCCAAGTCATGAAAGACAAGGACCTACATCCCAGATTGCTCTATCCAGCAAAGCTCTCATTTAGAATGTAAGGGCAGATAAAGTGCTTCTCATATAAGGTCAAGTTAAAGGAGTTCATCACCACCAAGCCCTTATTTTATGAAATGTTAAAGGGACTTATCTAAGAAAAGAAGATAAAGAAAAAACATGTATAGTAAAAGGACAGCAAACTCACAATTATTAACAACCACACCTAAAGCAAAACCAAAAGAAACTAAGCAAACAACTAGAACAGGAATGGAACCACAGAAATGGAGATCACATGGAGGGTTAGCAACAGGGGAGTGGGAGGAGGAGAGAGGGGGAAAAGGCACAGAGAATAAGTAGCATAGAATGTAAGTTGAAAATAGATAGAGGGAGAGTAAGAATAGTATGGGTAATGTAGAAGCTAAAGAACTCATAAGTATGACACATGGACATGAACTAAAGGGGGGGGATATGAGTGAAAGAGGGTGTACAGGGTGGAGAGGAGTGAAGGGGGGGGAAATGGGACAACTGTAATAGCATAATCAATAAAATATATTTAAAAAATTTAAAAAATATTCGGCCTTACTCCAAGTCTGTTTCCCTTGTTAAATATTTTACTATTATAATATATTTATATTTAAATATTTTTCTTCAAACGTCTCTGATAAATTATTTCAGTTGGATTATAAATACATATTTTTTATTTCTAATAAGCCATCCTTTAAAAAAATACTCTGCCCAGCCCTGACTGGTTTGGCTCAGTGGATTGGGCATCAACCCATAAACCAAAAGGTCGCCAGTTTGATTCTTGTCAGGACTGGGGGCCAGGTCCCCAGTCAACCAACTGATGTTTCTCTTCCTTTCTTTCTCCCTCTCTTCCCCTCTCTCTAAAAATAAAGTGCAGTAATCCCACCCCTTAAATAAAGTCTTTTTTTTATATGCCTGTATTTTTTAAATGTATCTTCTTTTAACGCAAACCAACAAAAAACCAAAAACAAAAAACACCTCCGCCCATAAACCTCTAGCACCATTAAGTCATATAGTAATCATTAAACATAGGGCCATTTTTATTATTGTATTATTAATTATGTATGGGAAAATTATTTTATTAATCTCAACTGTAGCGAGACAAATAATTCATTATGAACCAACTTTTAGTAACAGTCATGCTCCTAGAAGTAATTATGAGATGACATTTCTTTTTATATTATAAATAATATTAGATAAAAAATAATGTTGTACCCCAATATAGAGGAAAGATTCTTTCAACCCAAGTCCATTGCATTTATTCAATAATGATATTATTCTTTGTTTAGAACGTTTATGGCTAAGTCTTCAAATCTCAAGAGACGTATCATGTGGCCTGTGGAGAACCATATTCTTCCTTCTCTCTATAAGTCAATTTTTTTTTCTTTTAAGTCAATTATTTTAAAGAGAGAACACTGAAATTTTAAAAATTGTTACTGAATTCCTTCATTAGTTATTGATAACATTTTTGGCATCATTGAATAATAGAAAACTTGCTTACATTTTATTACCCTTTAATAAAATATAACATTTATCATTATATATTAAATAAAATTTTGTTCCTCAAAAAAATACTTTAGTACTAGAAATTCTCTTTGCTAAATTCTTTGTAGTACATATATATTTAGAAATGCTTAGATTATATGCATTTAAATAATGTATGTTTGTTCTTCAAGGGAATTTACCAAAATAATGACATAATGCATTCCATCATTTTTCAGTTTCTTAATGTACTCGGGCAGACCAGCAAAGTTCACATCGTCGTATGTGAAGTCCAGCTGGCGTTCCATGCAGTCGATGTCACAGTACTGAACGTCCTGCACAAAAGAGAAGTGTGCACATCCTTCCAATGCTGGAAAACAGACACGCGTCATCAAAGACTCATAAACAGCTAATAAATGTGTGTATATAATTTGAAATTTAAATATTGGTGTGAGTTTCAGATTATTCTGCAAGAAAAGAAGATAAAACTCATCCTTTCATTGGGAACTGAGAAAATGCAGTAATCCTCCCCCTCCCCTTAAAACTCCTTCTGTGTTTTAGTTACTCATGGTCAGCAGTGCTCTGAAAATATTAAATGGAGAATTCCAGAAATAAGCAACTCATGAGTTTTAAATTCATGCCTTTCTGAGTAGTGTGATAAAATCGCTCATGATCCTGCTCTGTCCACCTAGGGATGTGAAGCAGCCCTTTGTCCAACATTTCCACACCATATCCACCCCCACCTGTTGAGTCACTTAGTAAACAGCTGTGTTATCTGATTGACTGTCTGTTTCCCTGTGCTTGTGTGCCAGTAACCCGTATTGTACTCAATCATGGCCCCAAAGCACAAGAATAGTGCCAATTCAGATATGCCAAAGAGAAGCCATATGGTGCTTCCTTTGTATGAAAAGGTAGATACAAATAGCAAGAAATGTAATATACATAGAGTTTGGTACTATCTGCTATTTCAGGCATCCACTGAGGGTCTTTGACTATATCCCCTGTGGATAAGGACAGGATACTGTAACACAAATATATATTATTGTATATATTACAGTACCATCACTACACTTTCTAATTTATTTGTCCCTATCAGTCCCACCTACACTGTTTGGTGTGCACATACATGAGGAATATCATACTGTCTTAAACGTTCAACCGTTTTTTCCAGCACATCCATGCTATTATAGCCCCATCGACTTAGCTGAAATCCCAGAGACCAGTATGGAGGCATAAAGGGACGTCCAATAGCCTGTAAAAAAAAAGTATTTAAGTCCAAATAAATTTGCCAAATGTTCACAAGTGTGGGGTCTTCAGAACTGGATTAACAATGCTTCAGTTTCGGCTACTTAGATTGTGATCAGCATCTAACATTGTAAGTCGCTGTGGTCACAGCCAAAGAAATAATAATAAAAACTTGGAGTCTTAAGAACTCTTTTGAGAATTTGAGTAAGGCCATGGAATTTCCTCCCAAAGCATATACCTACAAGAGCAATTATTTCAATTCAGTAAGTGGGGAATCACACTCCCCAGACTCTTCTCCCCAGCCCCACTTAGTACAACCCAGCAGGAACTAATATAATAGAGCGTTAAAGGTTTCTAATAAAAAAAGCTTGAGTTCACCTTTCAGTTCAGCCCCTAATATCTGTGACATTCATGAAATGACTTAATTGTATAGCCTTAGTTTCTCCATTTATAAAATAAGGTAAAGAGTGGTATTCACTTTACTCATTTACAAGTATTTATTAAGCATTCACCATGCACTGTTTCAGACCCAAGGTCCCTGCCTCATGGAGCAGAAAACCAGCAATAACCAAGTACACAAAGTAGCATCATTTTCAGAAATTGAGTGTGTGGGCTTGGGGTAGAGGACTGTGAGGGAAATCTGGCAGTGAGGCCAGGCAGAGGGCCCGGAGGGTGCCTGGGCTAGAAGCACTCTGGGAGAGAAAGACAGCTTGTGCGGTTTGCTGAACTACAGCGAACAAGAGGGGCAGTGGAACACCAGAGGAGCAGGCGGATCTTCAGTCATAAAGGTCCGTAACAAAGAGCTGGAAACTTGTCTCTTTTTCCAACTTTATATTATGATAATTGTCAAGTAGATATAAGAGAGGATAGTATAATAAATCTCCATTTAACCAGAATCAACAATTATCATTTTGCTACACATCTCTATCTTTTTTGTTCCTTTTTTGAAAAGATGGGCTGTTACAGCTTTTTTAAAAAAGAAAATTCCTGGAATTATGTCATCTCACCCCTAACTATGGTCCTAAAAATACAGACTATCTCTTACATAACCAAAATATCATTCCCACATCTAACAAAAATTAACTACATTCCCTTAATATCATCAAATGCTCATCCAAATTTCTCTAATTTTTCTCAAAAATGTCTTTTATACAGTTGATCTGTTTGAAACGGGATCTGTTATATTCTAATTTCAATGGAAGCCATTAAAGAAAGAAATGTACTCTCATTTACTTTGTGTAAAAAATCACTCTGAGAACTCTGGAAAATAAATTACAGGAGAGCACTGGTGGTCGCCATGACACCAGGCAGGAGGCTGGTCCCTAGTCCAGGTGGAGAAGAGAGTGGTTAGAACAAAGGAGGTCACATGGTAATAATGAGAGTCAGACTGGAATACATTTTGGAGACATTGCTAACAGAACTTCCTAATAGATTTGATGTAGTACAACAACAAAAAAGACAGGAATTGAGGGTGGCACTATTTTGGGGGTAGAATGACAGGTCAATTAATCCATTCATTGAGATGGGAAATACTGAAGCAGGAACGCAAGTAGGTTTGTGGGGAGAGAGGACTGGGCATGAGATACGTGGTCGTATACACTTCAGGTTATCCAATGAAAGATGTATTTAGAGTCTTGGAACCAGGAGATATGGCAAGAGAGAATTCAGAGATCAAAGGAGAGCCTAACTTACCTCTAGGAGACTCAACGTTTAAAGACATCAGCAAAGGAGAATAGAAACAAGCCATTAGTCTGTAGCAGACCAGCCAAGACAGTGTGGTGTCAGAGAAGACAATGTTTCTACAAGTGGCCACTGTTTCTAGAAGACACCATCTGACAGAAGAGAACAGAGACTTGACAACTTGTCCTGTGACTTTGATATGACCTTTAAAGAGGGTGGTGGTATTGTAGCCCAGCTGGAATGGGGTAGAAAATCCAGAAGTGAGGAAGTAGAGACAGCTCACACAGACACTTTCAAAAAGTTGTACAGAGCAGAGGAGTGAAGAGATGTACAACAACATGGGTTCTTAGGAGGATGTTCTTGTTTAGTTTTGTACAGGTATGTGCTATTAATGCATGTTTGTTGGTGGGAAGGAACTGGCAGAGAGAGAGGTAAGTTGATGATGCAGCTGAGCAGAAAACAACTGAAGAGCTTCTACAGCTGATTCTGGAGGTGAATTTCCAGCACAGGAAGAATTGTTACACTTAGAAACTGGCAGGAACCACCTTAACAAGAACAAAGGCAAAATACATGGGCATGTTTGCAGGTAACTTGATTGATTCTGCACTTAGGAAACAATGTGTTTCTTTTTTAATTGCTTCTATTTTTCTCTGTGAAATAAAAAGACACATCAACAGCTGAAAGTTGGGTGGGCTGGTGTTGGAGGTTTTAGAACAGAAAGTGAGAAATAACAGTCTCTGTGAGTGGGATTGAAAATAACTCATCCAGGACATTACGTGGGATTGCTGGACAGGGAAGTGCACCAGGAATTCAAGTGAAGGGACACTTGTCGGCACAATCACGGGATGGTGATGGCTGGCCAGACGCTGTCAGTCACTCAGGAGCAGGTCCTGGTTTCATTAATCAATTAGCACAAAGTGCCTGTCTGCTGTGAACAGCAAGTTGATATCAAAAGCTGTTCAGGTCTGCAGTTTTAAAGTTTTCTTCCTGTAAAGCTCTTTCCAGTGGCTCCTGTGACTCATCTCTCCCTTTGCCCTTATTTTGTTGAACACAGAATATGAACTTTATAAATGTTTATTTATGACACAAATGAATGAAGAGTTAATGATATCATCCATATATTACAGATGGGGACACTGAGTTGAAAAGGAGCTTTTGTGACTTTTGTAATCTGGCACCACATAAAAAGACTAAAACCAGAACTGACCTCAACCATGATTCTCAAATCTGGCTGAACATTAAAAACATATGGGGAGCTTTTAAAAATATATGCTCTATTTGGGGCCCACTATAAATTAGTTTGATCAGAATAATCCAATTTCAGAAGGTGGACTTCAGGCATTTGTATTTTAAAGGGCCTCTGTACGATTGATACAAAGCAAGGCTTGAGAATTACTAAGCTAGATAGTGAGCAGTCGGGGAGCCAGAACTAGGTCTACCCTCTGTAATTCTGTCTCTGGACACAGAGCCCTTCCCATCTCTGCCCCTCAAAGGCCTTATCAGCTGGATCTCCTAAGCCCTTAGCCAAGTGATGTGTATACAACCACATTTAATGTGAGCCTCTGCTGCTACCTTTTAAATCAATTTCCTCTCATTCTTACCTTGTAATAAGTAGTGAATGTCTTATTTCCACCTTCTCAACAGCCCAGCAAGCATCTCCCCTAAAAGACAGTAAAGACACTGGAGGAGAAGGAGGCGGACAGGAGACAAGGGCTGAGAGCTACGCTTGAAGGAGCACAGACCAGAGCCATGGAGAGCCTGCAGCTCCGGCTGGTGGCGAGCCTCAAGTGAAAATGGAAAAGGCACAGGCACACTGAACAGTAGGAAGCAGTGCAGAACATCTACGTAAATAAGGAAATAGGTTTTGTATTGTTCCACAGTCGCTGAAATTATGCGTGTACCAGCTTTCCCCATACCATAAGTTCTCACATATGTCGAGAAACATTCCTCGTACTAAGAGCACCGAACAGCCACTCTACCACACACTCACACAGTATTCTCCAGGCATCTAGGGCCTCACATTTGAAGCAATGTCACTACAAGTAACATATAGTTATTATAAATAATACTGTATACATAGTATATGGTGCATATAGATGACATTAAATAAAAAACATTATCTATTAGCTACAGACAATAAATGCTGACCTAACAAATAACGATATGCCTTGAAGTCATCTCATAGTTTTAAGTATTTCTTTAGGAATGCCGGATGAGAGGTGCTGAGAAGGCAAGGGATAAAATTCGCTTCTTCATCACCATTTCCCTTATGCTGAACAGCCCGATGGTCTTAGAATGCCTTAATGTAAGGATAAGTGTTATTTAGTCTATTTCTATACTTTTTTCCCCTATTTTTTAAATTTTAATTGTTGTTCAAGTACAATTTTCTGTCTTTTACTCCGAGCCCAACCCACACCCCCAACCCTCCCCACCTCCCTCCCATTTCTATTCCCCCTGTAGTTTTTGTCCATGTGTCTTTTATACTAACCAAATTTTAGGTTTGTTTCCCTAGAATAGAAAGGCTCTGCTGGAATAGATACTGCTGACAGGAAGAAGAGGGATTTAAGTTCATCCTCATGGCTTAAAGACCACTCAGACACAGCATGTCTTCACCAGGCAGATGAAACAAATCCACTGTGGATTAAAAATTGCCCCCTTCACTCATTTTATATTATAGAGCAAGGGTAATTTTTCTTGTTCTTATTACTTCCTGCTACAAACACAATTTCTAGAGACTGGGGAGTAAAGAGCAGTCAGTCTTACATAAGGAAATTTCATCCATTTCCCCTAATTGCATTTGCTTATTATTTGGCTTCATGCTCTTGACCATCTGCAAATAAAACGGCTTTGCACAGGAATGACAAGGACAAGAAAAGCATGTATTGGTAAATAGCAGCCTTCTGTCTGGACAGAGAAGTTTCTACCTGCTTTGTCCCTTAGCAGGTGCTTTCCTCACTACCTGCTGGATTTGAAACAAATCAGCCCTGAGTGAGAGCAGAAAGCTCATTTCAGCACTGGGGCCTTAACATTCATAGGTCTGAAAAATCGGTGTGGAAAAAAAATGTAAAAAAATCAATGTGAAATAAACGCATCTTAGCATCTCGGTATCACCTTTTGGCACAGTGCAGTCAGGAATTCCATTTGAACAAAATCAAGCCAAAGCTATCACTGTTCTTTGTATAAGAGCAGGACAAATGTTTACAAAATAATGTTGAACATGCTGTTAATAATAACTATCCTTATAATTTTGAGCAATTACTGTATCCCAGGCGCAAAACTAAGAGTTTTATGTACATTATCTCAACTAACCCCCTAGCAATTCTAAGA